GTGGGTCCGTCGTTTTACTAATGACGTCACGCATTGGCTGTACGGCAAGCCCAAGAGGACATTTTACACCGTACATTTCGAATTATTGAAAACTCCAGATTCCAACGTAAAGCAGCTGAGGCCTCTTCGAGGTGCTAACATTTAAAATCACTTCATTATTTACTTTCGAATATTCGGCCGCGGGGGGGGGGGGGCATATTACGCAGCAAACCGCATTCAAACGCGATTTGGTGTATTCACGGCATTCATTTTGTTATTCTACACAGTATTGTTGTTTTAGAGTTATTTGTTAATGTAACCCAATTTGTGTTCTTTGAAATTTCGTTGCAGTTGTATATGTCTTAAGTGTAATTTGGCTTGGCTTGACAAGCTTTTATTTTGAAGGAGAGGTAGCGCTGTTGACAGGAAGTTGTTGTTGCTTTGGAAACAACGTGACGGAGATTAACGGCGAAAAGTAATATCTACATATAAAGACGGAGAAAGTTAACAATAACGTGTATGGTTAAGTTTTAGCACCCCCCGAAGAGGCACAAGCTCTTACGTCGCTATTCGAGTTTTCAATAAATTCAATTTAGAAAAAAAAAGGGGAAAAACGAAGATCACCATCACCAGCCAATCACAATGCGTGACGTCATTGGTAAGCGACGGACCCCGAACACATACGGTAGGCCCAACACATATGGTACTGACACCGGTTCGGAGCTGGAGCTTGAAAAGCAAAAAAAATAAATTGTCCGGCCAGAGCAAAAGCACCGCATACGTCACGCTTACGTCGAGGCGGGGGCAGAGACAGGATCAACTCCTGAACAATAACAAAAAGCCCGCATTTATCCAGTTTGTACACAACGATGGAGAAACTTAACAAGAGTTTCAGTGTTTCTGCCATAGACTATATATATAAAGGTTTCTGCTCATGGTGAAGCAACGTGTCTGCGTGTTAAGGTGGAACCTGAGCATTCACGTTGATCACCTCTCATTATAACTAATTATAAATCTATAAAACTATAAATATTAAACTTTACTTCACGTGTTCATTTGAGAACAGTTGTTAGATACCTGGGTGAAGGTTACAGTTCATTTAAATGAAAGATACAACGTTACTCCACACTCATGGTTCAGTCCACCTTAAGAAATAAGACCGACCTCGGAAGCAGTTGTGTTTTAAAAAAAACCTTTATTGACACGAGTAAACTTCTATATAAGAATATAACTAAACCACAGAAATGACTCCGGAAAAGCTGCAGATAGAGCCATAAGAAATGAATGCAACTGATTTCATCCGCACGGTTTGGCTTTATGAAGCAGGCACGCAAACGGTTACGTCATGACGCAAACGATGACGCAATGACGCATTACCAGTCGGACACTGGGCGGTGTGAAAAGAGCCGGAGCTAAACCGAAGAACCGGTTCTGAACCTGAAAAGCTCTAGCACGGAGCTTGAACCGGAGTTGTGTTGGTGTGAACGAGGTATAGCAGGGCTACAAAAGAGGGGTACTGTTTGAGCAGTATGAGGCATGGCTACAATGGGTGAACTGTTTGGTATTTTAAGCAAAAAACTTCACAGACATGTTTTGTATAGGTATGGCCCTACAATATATTTTTCCAATATAGCATAATAGGTCCACTTTAAACATTGATAAGTCAAAAACTGTAAAGTATATAAAAAATCTGAATAAGATTTGAATAGTCGAAGGTCTTGTGATCATTTTAAAGTTGGAATGAAGTCTCTAGCTGAAAGTGTGTGTGTGTGTGTGTGTGTGTGTGTGTGTGTGTGTGTGTGTGTGTGTTGTGTGTGTGTGTGTGTGTGTTGTGGTTGTGTGTGTGTGTGTGTGTGTGTGTGTGTGTGTGTGTGTGTGTGTGTGTGTGTGTGTGTGTGTGTGTGTGTGTGTGTGTGTGTGTGTGTGTGTGTGTGTGTGTGTGTGTGTGTGTGTGTGTGTGTGTGTGTGTGCATGATAATGAAGGAACTGTCAGCCAGAGCAACAGTGTGGCTCAAGGTTTATCTCCAATGGAGCTCTATGGCACAGAGGAGGAAACTGTATCAGCCTTTAAATACACACACAATACTCCAATTGCACTGTGATTCTAACAAGGCAAACAAACTGCAAGCTACTTATTTTTGTTGTTTAAGTGAGTGTAAAGATTTTACCGGGTCAATTCCGAGTGGGTAAGGCCCGTTGAACACACCAGGAACAGCCGGGTCCAACTGCAGCACCCGATTTCCATCGAGTGTCTCAAACCTAGGACAGATCAGGAGGAAATGAATACATACAAATGTTGACAAAAAGCAGACTGTTTACTTGCTGGTGGCTTTAGAGGAACCAGCAACACCTTTTAGAATACCAACACAAACAGTATAGAAGTTAAATAAAATCAATAAATATAATGGTAAGTTATAAGATAGCGGGGGGTGAAGGACTGGTTTAAAACATAATATTTGTTATATTTCATGAAAATATCAGAATATTTAGGTCAGTTTTCTATGGAATCATTGAAGCACAGGTTAGTTGGCAGATCAGTGAGCACAGACATTAGTAAAAGTTTCTGTACAGGCACACAAAACCATGCCGAGCAGCAAGAAGCCCTGCAGCTGTTGTTCCAAAAGTTGTTGTTACAAGTATCATACAATGTGTTAATGAGTAAGCATTAGATGGCGTAAGTTGGTATATTTCTTCACATTAGACAGAAACAAGTTACCTGTTGCCCTCTCTTCTTGTCTTTATGCTAAGCTAGGCTAACTACGTCCTGACTCCAGCACTGTGCTGAAAACACAGACATTGCATTTGATATCCATCTTCTCATCTCATTATCAGCAAGAAAGTGAATATGAGTATTTCACAAAATGTTAAAAATATTCCTTTAACATTTGATGAGCAATTTTCATGCCAAAATGCTACACCAACAAGAGCTATGCATTGTTGTTGATTTCCTCTTTGATTTGTTGTAGACATACTAGAATCTAGATTAACCGGAAAACAATTTAAATGAAGGATGTGCTCTTCTCAAACAGAATCAGTATAAGCAGAAGGGATTTTATGACTTACGTCCAGTTGGCTCCTTTAGTGCTAAACATTGGCCTGACGCTCCATCCAGAGCCAAACATGTTGAGTGACTTGGAGAAGCAGTCGTTGTAAATGATACCAGTGTACATGGAGAAGAGCCCCATCAGCAGGATGATGTAGCGACCAGCAAACACCATGTTGAATATCTACAGAGACACACAACAACTTAGAAATCTCATATGTTTACGTTTAATATGTGTACTGTAAGTTTGAACTGCTGAGCTACTCATTACTGGATAAGTTATGTGTTATCGTACCTCGTTGTCACTCTTCTGGGCGACGAGGCGACTCTCTCTGATCACCAGGTAGAGGGCAGCACAGGTCATCAGTGTGCCATGACCCATGTCCCCAAACATCACAGCAAACAGGAAGGGGAAGGTGATGATGGTGTATGGAGCTGTGACAGGCGACAATCACACATAAGCACTCAAATGGTCATTCACTCAAATATCAATTAGTATAATTTGATTTGTACTAGGTAAAAGGTATTAATTCCACCTAAAAGAAAGTTCATAGCAATCTTAATATTCAATCAATGCAGCATTAAAGCAAGATGTTCTGAGATTACTGTTATATTCCAACAAGGCTGTCTCTCTTTCGCCTTCATATTCTTTGCCTGAGGTTTTGAGGAATGCCTCTGCACCTCGTCAGTAAAGCCCTGTAGCTTGCCTTAGGAACATTTCATTTTTTCTTTTCTCACTGCCATGGTTCTACTTATTGGGCGCATTAAATTATTTGTGAATTCGCTGGTTAGTCTTTTGCCATAGAAAATGATATAATAACAAGAAAAAAATGGCTGCATTTTCTGTATAACCTGGATTGATTTCCCGGTAGTTCCCGATGCCGTAGGCGTCCACGATGTTCTGGAAGCCTGACGTGAACTTGTTGGTCTTGTTGAAGGTGGGCGGGGTTTGCTTGGTCTGCATCCTGTTGAGAATGGACGGCACTGTGGAGCCACTCCTCTCCTATCAAAGAAAGCCCAGGTACATGTTGTAACAGTAAGAACATATGACAGGGGGGTCCATACAACCTCATGACATGCCCTACATTTACTAAATTCACTAAATGCATGTCAGAAACAAATCTTGTAGCCTGTTTTCAGTTGGTTTTGGCTTTCCCACTTGTAATTAAATAATATACATTTTTTTTATGCACAATATTATTCTCCAATGGGCAAGCTTTTGTACCAATTAATGATGTTGTTACTGTATTGGTGTGATCCTGTTGCATTTGAGTGGGTGGGAACTAACCTGTATTCATAATCACTTTAGTTCCAACAGCCTAACAGCAAATCCTGAGTACAGTAAAGGTGTGAACCATGGGGGGCCCAATAAAATAGTCCTTAAGCCCAAAGTCATCCTTGATGAGCAATGACATGAGTGGCTGCTATAAATGCTCTGCGACCTGCCACAGGTTAAGTGAAGAACAATCGAAATGTTGAGACCCAGATTGCAGCACTTAGTATAATATAGGTCACAACAGCAAGAAGCAGAGAGAGCATGGAGAAAATAAAATAAAGGAATAAGATGGGCAATAATAACTGAATACATTTAAGATTGTAGCTTATGGCTTTATTGATGCGACGTGTGCAGGACATGCAGAGAGAAATATGGGACCCCTACACTACACATAAAACAATATTATGAAGAATTTATATGAATAAATAAATACACAACCAACTCACCGTCCCTCTGCGGAGAGCGAACTGGATGGAGTCCAGGTCCGAGACGGGACACCACACCTCAGCAATCAGACACTTCTGGGTGACGTCAATGTTGCACAGGTTGAGCGTGTGGTAGATGGCCTTCATCTTCCTCACCTTGATGAACCACACCCGCATGGTCTTGGAGGCGGCCTGCAGCACTCGCTGACGGTGGTCCTCTGTTTGGTTCAGCACCTACAGACGCAGGGTGGAGCCATTTGTTTTAGAGTGTAGATCCTGGTCCAGTCAACACTGGATATTGGGATGTGTCGGCTTGATAGTGTAGAAGATTCAACTAATTGGAGGTGTTATAATAATGTAAGTGGTTGCCATGGCACAGGAATCATTAGTTTGGTATGTCATTTATTTAATTATTATTGATTTCCTTTTTCTTTTTACAAGTTATTTCTTCTCTCTCTGTTGGGTTTCATCTCGGTGTTGCATGGCGTCTTGTCATGCAAACATAATGAGGGCTTAAAATCTGAAATGTGCAGTATTTGTATTGTAAATGTTGACGAATGGTAGAAATTGATTGGTTTTACTATACTTCACTTTGGCTCAGGTCATTTGTAATGCACATCATTATATTTGTATGTAAACCTGAGTAAAATGCACTAATTCTGTAGAGTTGAATACATTGTATTTGATTGACAGGCTCAGACTAGAGCAGACCTCTCAAGCAGAACCAGGCTTTTTCCAGGCTCAGTAAGGGCACACTTTAGGAAACCACAACACTGAGGCAGAACAAAGCTCTTTCAGAGATGAGAACTAGTGCACAAGAAAACCCCCCTCTGCATGATGAAGCCTTTTGTTATTTGATTGAAAATAAATGTTCTAAAGGAAAACTGAGCCTGAATACAGACATCCTGTTGTGCAAAGTTTCAGAATCATTTCTTGTTGTTAAGTCAGCAGCAGGGTAACAAAGCGTGCAAAGACCCTTTGAAATAATTATTAAATAAACTGACCCTCATTTTGCTGTATTTTTATTTATATTGGTTTATTGAATGTGTATGTAATGTAGTGATGAGTGGTAAAGGTCCTTTCTTGTGACAAACGTACCATCTGGAGGTCGTCGATGCGGCTGTTGACTCCGGCCAGCATCTCCTTCCTTTCCTGTGAGGTCTCTGGACACGGGTAGAGAGAGGCACGGAACCTGTACAAATACACAACATATTAAATACACACCCTGTACTTCTGCTTCCACCATGCTCCTTTTTTTACGTTACTTGATGAAACAAACATGGAAACGTGCAATTATTGCGCAGTGGAGACAACAGACAGCAGGGAGATTATATTTATAAAAAGGTACTGCGGAGAGTTAGCACTGCATTTCAATCAAGTTTGGAACTTGATAGTGACAAATACAAAATAATGGTCAACATTGAAGCAGAAGAGGCAGTTTATATCAATCCCAGAGTCCCGAATATGACTCCAAAACCTTGATTCCAATAAACAATAACAATTATTATGTTTGTTTAACCCTCTCTGCCTGGTAAAAACTAATGTCTTTCAAACTCCGAAGAATTTTGAATATAAATGTAGTTATGAAAAGTTGTAAATGTGGGCAAGATAACCCTGTGTACAATGTGCCTGTTAATGCCCAGAAATCCTGGATGTTGTTCTGACATCAAGTGTAAACCACAGAAGTACTGTGAGAGCAAATTCCTTTAATGGCCACTAGATGTTAGAGCCAAGAAAATGCTGACCATTTGGCAATGTTTAAAATGTTGACCAGGCTTGTCCAATACTTCCTCCGGTCTACGATGACCTGTTTGCTAGTCTGGATAAACAGTCTTATGGATCCCACTGTTATCGTGGCCATGACAGTCCTAACCATATTTTTCCACCTATGGTACCAACATTTATCTCTGAGTTTGACTTTTATTGTCATTTTCACTTTTATATAATACTATCTCGTATAATATTGTGAATGATTCTTAGTTCATAACACCCACCCCTCACAGATCTTCTTCACCCTGTTCTTCAGCTGGTCGCCTTGGAAGAAGATAATGAACACTGATTTGACGACTTGGTCTCCCTGTTGGAAAGAAAACAAGTTTTAAAAAAACATCCACAACTTAAATATTGGATCTGTTGTATAAGTAAATAAAAACGGTTAGAAATGCATATGACTGATTTTTGTATGCTTCTCTGTACTTTTTCTTCTTAATGTGTACTCCTACTTGTCTCTATGATGTATGTTAAGTGTGCTGACCGTGGCGGGGTCCTCCAGAGGATCCTCAATCTCTGCCTTCCTTAAGAAGACGTTTCCCCGGCATACCCTCCACAGCATCCTCTCAAAGGTTGGAATCCTCTCCCTGCTGATCACTCCGGCCACAAACCTGAACAGACAAAACAAATCAGAGCAGATAACACAAAAGAAAACAAACCACAGAATGTACATAGTCACTCTTTTGTTTTTAAGCAGGACCATGTTTCTGTTCATTACCCAAATCAAATCATCCTTGGTCAGGTGTGGCTGATTGCTTTTTGTAAAGCTACCAGGTATTTTAATAAGCAACATAAAAAAAACACATCATAAAGCACAATTATATCATAAAAAATGGGAGGTTTTGTTTTTATAATGCAAAATGACACAGATGTAAACGGAAAACAAAATGTAATTATGATCAGTTTATATTACTATTCCAATATTTGCCAAGACAAGTGGTGGATGTGTATGAGAGAATATGATGCAGTTAATATGCTTACCCAAGTCTAAGTGGGGCCCCTCGACCCCCCTCATTGCCCTCCATCAGAGAGGAAGACTCCTCCAGCAGGTTGGGATCCTCCATCTATCAGTGACATGAAGAAGAACTTAGTTACTTTATTTAGCACATTAATGATCTGCTGTGGTGTGAACGTCTGAGAAGGTGAAGAAGCAAACCTCATCAAAGAACTGCTGTGTTCGGCGGAGGATGTGTTTGAGCTCTGTCAGCTCCAGGAAGTTCTTCTTCAGGGCCTCCTGGTTGGTGTTGATTTCCTTCAGTTCGTTCTCAAGCTTCTCAAAGGTGGCCTGCCAGTCACAATGAGCAGCGTAAATACAACATAAACACTGTGCTCTTAACAAATGTGCATCATTACTGTGGAATCCTGCACATTGTTTATTCTGTATATAGTAAATGCATGAACCTTAAATAACTAACCACTTCATCATGCTTTAATGACTGTAGTCTCTCTCTGTGTGTCCAACCATTAGACTGATATCATTCATGTTTGTGGTGTGTGTTGCTGAGGATAAGAGGCAGTTCAGTGCCGTCCATAGAGCTATTTGGATCAGCAGTTCTGTAGAAAACACCTCTGACAAGAGCCATATAAGCAGGACTCTTTACAACACAGAGCCACAAGAGGAGAACGTGTCTTTTCATATTGTAGGCGATGCTGACTTTGTGTTTGTTTTGGAATGTGACAGTTTAAAATGCTTTTTGGGGTAAAATCAAAGCCATATGAAGTGTGTTTTTATCATCCCTTCTATTGAACGTTGATTAAATGAATGTATTAATGCATCTCATAATGACTGCAGATGGCCGGCCGCTTACCTCCAGGTCGATCATGTCCCTGGGAAAGGGAACCTCTGGATTCTCTCCAGTGTCCACAGTTGGGATTGCAGCTTTCTTGATCTCTTTCTCCACAAACCCTGTTCAGAGAGAATCCATGATTCAATATCTTACCAATGAAAAACAATGTTCTTTATGTTTTTCCAGATTAGTTTTCCTCACTGACACAACTGCAATTTTGAAAAGTGTTCAGAATCAATCTCATGACTTACTCAGTTTCCTGTCCATCTCCTCACATCTCCTCACTTCATTCACAAACTTGCGCTGGAACACGTTGACATCAGGATTCAGCTATGGGTGGACAAAAATATGGGAATATTAATTAGGATATCATGACTCAATAGTTATGGATCTAAAACTTAGTGACTTATAATGACAGAATTATTTTTTTAAGTCATTATACATTATTGAATTAGATCATTTCTGCCTCCAGAGGAGCTGAAAGATGGCATAGCATGGATTATTCATACTCACATCTCTGAACTGGACCATGCCCAGTTCTCCCAGCTCACTGACGCAGCAGTAGGCTGCCTCTGATTGGAGGAAGAGCTGGGCCAGTGTCATCTCCTCACTCCTGAACAGTTCCCCCATGATGACAAGCTCACTCCACCACCACTATAACAAAGAAGTACTGAACCTGGGGTCGGAGGTAATGTAAAAATAAAGAAAAATTATTAAAATATATTTAATATTATTTTTGAAAAAGGTTGAGTCAGAAAACAAAGAAACAATACTTTTTTTTAACAATTTTTTGATCGTATAGTAATACAAATTGGTACTGTACAGAACAACAACTTTCTCATACAGTAATATATTGTTAAACTATATTTACTATACAACATTGTTTTGCGAAGTAATCAAGGCATGATTAACAACGGGACAAAGTGGGCAAACATATGGCTGCAACTAATGATTATTTTCATAATAGTATAATCATACATTTCCTGATTCCTCCGATCTCTATTTATTAAAATATCCCAAAACAATGAGGCAAAGGTCACGTCTTCAAATGTCATGTGTTGGCCAACTTTTGACCAATATCAAAAAGATATTCAGCAAACTGTAAACTAGAATTTTTGATTTTTTAACAAAGATTGAATAATAAATGGTGGTCAATGAAGTACACAAGTAGTACAGTTTAAGCATTGTTATTACTATTCAACATTCTGATGTATTTTTGCATAACTCATAGTAGAAAGCCTATAAACAGGAGGATGCTAAAGCTAAAAACGAAAGGTAATGGCACTTATAGGCCAAGTATGGATAACGTTATAATAACAGCTCACACACAATGCAATGACGTAGCCAAATGAATAGAATGGCCGAACTGCAAGTAATAATTTTCACTATAAATACCGCTGGGCTTTTTTATTAAAATATGAGTTTAATGTTAGCCCTATAGTTAGCATGCAGAGACTCTGTGGTGTCGCAGCATCATGATGTTGTGCTCTGCCCTTCACTGAAGGACGCCATGATCATGATGCTGCTGCTGCATCCGGAGAGCATCTGTCAACCGCTCTCATCCCTCCTTTCACAATTAACACCCAATTCATAACATATAATAACCAATATTATAACGTTTATGGTTTTTTCTACTACACGAACATGTCACACCCGATATAGTCCCAACGCTAGAATAGGATTTAGGTTCTTAACAGGTTAAGAATAACGTTCGGATGCTGTAGTAGCCTAACATTTCAGAACGAGGACCACTCGGCGGTTAATTTAACAAACACACATTTGTGTAAACGTACAAATATAACATTTGCGAGCATTAGGCTCGAGGAAAAAACGACGAAGAAGAGGAAGAAAGCAGTTGGCGCTGACATATTATCACCGTCGTGCCAACCCAAACGTCAAAATATGTAATTTTTCGAACTATAATTAATAATTCCCCTACTGAAACTAAGTCTGAAACGCCAACATAACCTTATTTTACATTAGAGACGTTTAAATATCAATTGAATCACCTGTGTAGGATGCAGCTGGATGCTGAGGTCCAGGGCGATACGTCAAGCTAGATACAGTCGGCCGGAAAAACACCCCAATGTGGAAGATTTCAAAATAAAATCCTGACATATTTATCCTACTTTTTGAACGTTCCATTTCAAATGCATATCATACCTTTGCTATAGTAAATATCACCTATCGTGGGGCATTATGTTGCTCCATTCTATCTATCATGATGGTCAAATTAATGTCATGGTTATTTTATTTTGAAAATCCGAACCAGAAGCACATTCTAAAATCCGTGACTTTGATTGAGTGGTAAGGGATTTATGATTACCAGCCATGATGGACCATGTCAATGACTCATTCACACTGTACACATATATTGTTACGTGCCGTGTTGTGTTTGTGTGTGTCTCTCTCCCCCTCTCCCCCTGATTCTCTCCCTGCAGGTGCAGCCTTTCCCCCAGGTGCTCCCAATCCCCAATCAGGGCCTCCATAAAGGACCTGAGGAAGGCTGCAATCTCTATCTCCTCTGGGCTGCATCTGTCTCTGTGTGAGGCCTGGTTTAACCTGTGTTTTGTTTATTGTCAGGAGATGTGCTCCAGTTTACCTTTGTGTATTGTTTAATTTAATCACTTTCTTTTAGGAAAAAGTTGTTATTAGTTTACTTTGCAAATTGGCTGGTGAGACCTTTTTTTCTTTTGATTATTAAACATCACCTTGTGGCTTCTTCAGCAATCAGTTTCCTCTCTTTTCTCTCTCTCTCCCGGTTATTTTATATTTGTGTTACTTCCCTTTGCACCCCTAGTCCAGGAGGGAATGTAACAATATACATCAAAAAAAGCCTTTATGAGAAGGAATACATATAAGGACAACCTAAAGGTAACATATTGTTTATTTATTTTACTTTAAAGAAAAAGTCAATGTATCGAAAAAGAAAAAATCCCTGCCTTCAATCAACCGCAGGTTATTAGTCTTCTTCTTCTCCATCCAACTAGTCAGAGTCTTTTCATTAACGCGTTGTAATTGTTTCTGAAGAAAAAATCGGGCATGTCATTCAGACAATCGTGTTGCCTCTGGCCGGGGTGACTGACTCGGCATCCGTTGCATATTTCTTCTCTGTACCGATGTATCACCCTCTCCACAATATCAACCAACACTGATTTCACTGTGTCCATAAACAGAGACGTCTTGGCCCAAGGAGCAAAATAAGCAGCAGTAGTACTGCAAGATTCGGGTGTCCAGAATGGTGGTGATGATGGTAGTCCAGGAGTTTGTTCCTGGCTGCAACTCACGGGGGGAGACTTGGTTTTTCTCAGATCCATAGCTAGTTTTCAAACTGTCGTCTTAGTGGGGTCCTTAGTTTTAGATGCTTTGCTGAGTGGAGGGAGGNCACACACACACACACACACACACACACACACACACACACACACACACACACACACACACACACACACACACACACACACACACACACAGGCCCACCTGTCAGTTTTTATGCATACTAATGTGATTGAAACAGCATTTGTTTTAATTTAAAACAATTTTTTTTACATTTATTATACACCATAAGGCGCAACAGTGGGGGCTTTTCACACCTGTGAATACACATCACCCCCCTCCTATCGACGGATCTCACACCTACTTGGGATATCACACTTACTTGAGATCTCACACCTCGATCAAAGGGGAGGCGGGACTTAGCACATTTGCATAATGGGGGGAGGTGTGACCTGTCACTTTTTTATGCATACTAATGAGACGAAAGCGGGATGAATATTACTACTCAGGCTCCTCCCACAGTGCAACACAATACAACAGATAATAGTGCAAGTAAATAAAATAAAATAGAATATAATAGAAATTTTGCAGAATAGTCTATATACAAGTAATTGGAATATTGATCTATATAAGTATAAGTTACAACCAGATGAATGTTATGAATGTTCTTAGTTCAGGTGTTTAACAGTCTTGTGGCCTGTGGTATGAAACGGTCCCTGAGTCTGGTGGGTTTAGTCCTGATGCTGCGGTACCGCCTGCCAGACGGCAGCAGACAGAACGGTTTGTGGCTGGGGTGATGGGGGTCTTTTGTAATCCTGAGGGATTTCTTCCTGAGCCGCTGGGAGTAAAGGTCCTTCATGGATGGCAGCTGGTGACAGTGGCGGACTGGCCATCGGGACTTTACTGAAGTGGCCCGGTCCCCCCCTCGTTGACAATTTACTACTGGTACCGAAGTGTGCCGGTCGAGATGCCCGGGCTGATTTTTAGTCCCAGTCCGCCCCTGCCTGTTGATGTGCTTTGCAGTTTTCACCACCCTCTGTTTCTCTATTTGTTGAGGTAAATGCACTTTGGTGAAGTTCTGGCTGTTAATCCGATAATGGGAACAGTAAATCAATATTCCCTCTCTGTTTAGTGTTGGTTTGACCTGCAACTACTCCTGAGATCTCGCTATAAAACAATAGAAATATCCAGCTTTATTTGCCTGGTATGTGTGCATGGACTGTGTAAAGGTGCACATACAAGGTATTTGACTCTGTAAATGTACATATGTAACACAGATGGATGTACTGTACATGTAAAATCAAATAACACAAAGCTAGACCTTTCTCCTCACTTTAGCATCTGGGTAAATCTCAAAAGCTAGACTCGTGATTAATCCAAGAAAGTGGTTGATACACAGAAAATATTGAAAGTAAATCCTTCTGCTGGGCCTTCTTTATGATTGATATAAATACGGTCTGCATTTGACATGTAATGTATAAAGAATGGTTGTTTTGCACGTTTTGTTTTGTCGACTGGCCACAGCAGTGCCTTGATTGATGTTAAAGTCATGCTTTTCTGGTTATTACCCGTCCCCTTCTGTGTTACAGTATGAAGGTTTTTATGCATGTAAACGGTCTGCAGAGTCACAAACCCTCAAAGTACAACCTGTAGTAAAACTCTCACACAGAAAATACCTCCCAAACCGCCTCGTTGGAGATACGTTCTTGTCATTTGATTTCTTCCGGGTCGTATTGATGTCAACCGTACCCGGAACGAAATTGACCAACGTGGAGCGTTTACGTTACGGTCCGCTGAGCCGTTACGTTAGCACCCGCTTGATTGGTTCCAATTGACCAATCCACCGGACTTCCTCACACGCACACGTCCATGCAAACAGCTCTGCTGATTTTCTTCCTCCCTTCTACAGCTGATTAACAGACAGGTTGGGATCGCTGCGGAAATTCTCTCTGCAGAACCCATCTCTCTGCAGCCCATTCTCAAAGCGGTTTATCAACCTTTTCTTTTCAATATCAGCCACACTGTATTAGTTTTACTTCGGGCAAAAGTTGCCAAAGTTAATCACACCTGTTTGATTTATCACCTTAGCTGCGCTGAGCCTGTGTGTAAGTGGTTCTGTTTTTTTTTCATTATAATGCATGTTGAGGAGAGTTCTTACTGCCTGTTTCGCTTGTGTTATCGCTAAAACAACGGAAACAACACCTCCACGGAGAAGTACTATTAGCGCGCGCTGTCATTCGACACTGTTCGGGTCTGAAACTAGCGTTGGACCGTCCTTGGACCAAGAGGCTTTTTAGTCGATGTTTGAAAGACAACGGTTCGTCCTCTATGGGAACATGGGCTATAAGGTGTTTGTCATAAGGGTTAAGCTTGCAACAGTAAAAACTAGATGCAGGTGATATGGTCAGGCTTGTGAGAGACAGTAGACTGGAAGATTATTATCAACGTAGTGGGGCGAGGGGCAGATGTCGTGAACATAGATGTACAAGGAGTGATGGTTTATTGCATTGAATTGTAATCAAATTGTCACGGTCATTCAGCCCGCACATCCCTCCCCATCACCAATACACTAATACAGAGTCGTGTTTTGACACTCTCTCCCAGATGTAAACAGGGAAATTCTCGCATAATATGTTACGTAAACCCTTTGCACATGTAGCTAGTACCTAGACGACAACCAAGTGTGAAGTTGTGCCAGATCGCGTGACTCTAAGGAACATCCATTCAAGTAATGGAGTGTCTGCAGATGGTTTAGCATGAAACGTGTCCGAGTTGCCCCCAGAGGCTAATCCTAGAAGACCTACTGAAAGACGCAAAAAATATGAAAAATGGAAGTGCAAAGGGAAAACAGGACAATGGATCATTTTTCTCTCCTCTATGATAGATTGTCCCAATTGATGAGTGTTACCTTACCCTCAAATGGCCATGAATTCATGAATAGAAACATCCTTTTTATATTCTAGTAGACCTCAACATTGAATATTCATGGTGATATATACAACATATATCTAGTTAATTAGAACTAGAAATAACCTCTCCCCTCCGCTGCCTCTCTGCTCTTGGACGCCATCCGGGTTCCCGCGTCCAGAGATGGATGGTAGGCCATTCTTTGGTTTCCGCACCATCAGGGAATAAGGTCTCATGCGTGGGCATGCCAGGTCTTTCCTCTTGTGAATCTTCTTGAAGAGAGGTCGTCTGGTCGCCTCGGTCTGGAATCTTCTCTGAAGGTAGTCTCGATCTGGTGTCTTGGAGGACAACTCTCTGCCTGGGCTACAGGTGTTGTCCTAGTTCTTGGGTGAAATGGCTCTACTCATGCCTTGGCTATTTTGGCTTGCAACCAAACCATGTTTCCTTATTTAATTATTGATTCTGACTTGCAAGAGGGGCAGAGCATAAATAACGAATGTTCAGGCAGAAGACTGTACCCCTATGCAGGGTGACACGATACCACTTTCGAGATTTTTTCGGTCCTTTGAAGTCTTTGCGGAGAGTGCAGAGTTTTGTTTTTTTTCAGGAAGTGGCCTCTTCAGCATTTTCCAATTTCAATGTTTTTCTGTTGAAAGGGGAAAGCCAGTTATGATTGCCTTGCAAGAAAGGCTACACAGACATACATAACACATTGTGGTATGGTTCCTTTATGATTGGTGTTGACTCTGCATAACACTATATCTCTTCACCAGAACTGGCATTTATATACCACAGCATATTGTTCTCACAGTGATCGCCAAATTAGACGGTTGTGCTCTTGGGTCGCACTACCTCTCATTGATAGCCTTACTCGCGTATGTTAGATTTGGTAGGATCTTTGT